TATTGCTAGAGGTCACACGAAAATGCTTCACTAAAATCCTCACAAACAGATTGGAAAATATCTGCAAGACTAACAATATTCTAAGAGGACCTAATTATGCAAGATTACTAGGAAAAAGTACAGCAGAACTGATTCAAATTCTCAACAATATTTGTGAGGAAGCAAGAAAAAATAAAAAGGAGTTATGAATACTTTTCCAAGATATAGCAAAAGCATATAATACTATTAGCTTGAATATGTTAAACAAGGTAATAAATAGAATCAAGATACCAGAAGGCTTTATTTAAATCATAATAAGTCTATTTTGAAATTGAGAATTTAGGATTATATTTGAGAAAAATCTAACTGAAGCAATCACAGCAGGAGATGAAATTGATCAAAGAGAAACTATCTTACCACTAATGTAGAGAATATTCTATAATTATTTATTGTGCAAGATTCAGAATAATGAAACAAAAGGTTACAAAATGTCCATGGCTTGGAATCCAGAATTAAAGGGAAACACTGAAAGAAAGCTAGAATCAGATATACAGCTATCGCATTCATGGATAATATAACATGAATAGCAAGATCCAAAGAGGATATGGAAAAGATTCTGAAAGAAGCAAGAATCTTTTATAGGGCAAATGACTCACAAATTAATAGTAGCAAATCTGTATTAATTATTATTAATAATCCCAACCAATATCCAGAAAAGGTCCAAGCAGGAGTCGACAGAGAAATAGTTAGAGAATTAGATAGAGTTGAACAGACAAGATTTCTAGAGATTTGGACAGGTAACTAGAAATCTGCTATCGAACTCAAAGAATGGATGCTTAGAGAAATCAGTATAATTACCAAGTTCCTAAAGAACAAAAAGTTAATTGACAAATAAACAATTTACATTCTGAACAGAGTCTTGATACCTAGAATCGAATTCAGAATGCAGCATAGTGTATTATACTGGCGAATGTGTAATACCTTGACAATGGCATATAAAAAACTGTTTAAAAATAAGGCCATATTATATCGATTCATACCTAATAGTATAGTACATCATCCCAGTATTTACAATTTAAAGAGTGTTTAGATGCTACAAAAAGAAAGTCAGATAATGGGACTATGCAATAGGTTAAATGACTTAGAGTCAGCCAAAATCACAACAATCATCAGATTAAAGCAATCACAGATTAAGTACTGGGAACCTCTCAACTTGCTCACATGTAATTCACTAAACTATCTTCTGGAAAAAGGCAACTTCACATTACAAGTGCTGAAACTGACCAAATATATGGAGGTAACTTTCCATAGTTGAAAGTAGAATAATATCTTTAATTAGAGTACCAGAAATAGTCCAATTAAAGATCACCTGATAACAAAAGAATACAGTAATGCCATTCCATCACTCAAACACAATAAGTTGATATATACAGATCAGCTTATCAATTATGAAACTAGAGAAGTATTAGATTGGCGAATGCTTCAACTCCTACAAAAGACAAATAAGGGACCTATTTCAGAATGATACTTGTCAATAACAAGAGAGATGTGAGAAAACAAGCTAAAACAACTCATAAGAACTTGAAAAAAAATTGGTTAAAGTGGAGTCCAAAATATCCTATACTCAATCTTAACCTTGATAAAAGGCAAAAACTTTGGATAGTCACCAAGAGCAAAAATCAGCAACAATAACTTGTTTGGAGAAAGTTGATTCTAGGTAACAATAAAAAATGTATTAAAATAGATCATTTCAAATGTGACAGCTTCAAGGAAAACTTGGGATCAAACCTGATATGATGCCAGGGCTGCCCAGAAGGGATCATGACTAAAAACTGATATATAATAGAATCAAACTTAAAGTAAACATATATGATTCCTTACCTTAATACCAGGAAATCCACAAGAAGAGCCCAACTTTTAGAAATCCCTTGTTCCAAGGTAGCACTAGAGGAATCAATAAGTAGAACAATTTATACAGACCTAGTGATTATACAAAGTGATAGAAGGCAACTGAAAGAAGTAGAGATAGAGAACTGAAAGGAGAAGCTTATTAAAGAGAATATCAAAGAAGGTGCATATCAAACCTATCTAATTGAAATACTCAGGCATAACAAAGGGGATAATAGCAACAACACAATAACCTTTTATTCTGATGGATCCCTTGTTGATTACGAAAGTGAAAATATGAAGATGGGTGCAGCATGAATACAAATTGGAGAAGCAGAAAGAGAAAGCAAGTTCCAAACAAGGGTAGCTGATTGGTCTTCATCCACAAGAGTAGAACTAGTAGCGATAGTTACCATACTACTAGTAGTATCAGTTAATAGCAAGGTCAAGATCCATACTAACAGTCAAGCCTGTATCTCCAAATGGAAAACTATAAAAAAGGAGGATCTCAAAAAAACCCACAAAAGATGACTAAAGGAACAAAATTGGTTCTTATGGGTACAAATATTAAGCCTGGTAAAGAAAAAAAGATTAGATTTAAATCTTATCAAGGTTAAAGCACACTCCAATATTCAATATAATGAGGAAGCAAACATTCTAGCCAAAGAAGTGTTAAAGTTCCTAACAATAGAATGGCAAGATCTGGACTCACCTAAGATTATTATTGAAATCAAATAGCAAGACATAGTGCTGGATACTTTAATAAGACATTTTGTTAAAAAAACCAATACCAAAATAATGACATACCAATGGACAGCCCAAAATAGAATAAACAAAAAGTGGAGTCATCAAATCTAAGACTAGCACAGACATACATGGGACCTTGTTTAGGAACAAATAAATAATAGATACACATGGAATACCTCCTTCAAAGGATCATAAAGAAAGAGCTTTCTCGTCAAGATAATTAATAACAAGCTACTCACATTAACAAAGCTAGCCACAAAAAGACCAAACTTATATAAGCAAGTAAAATGTCTTGCATGTGGACAGCAAGAAGAGACAATAGAACACTTGCTAGAATGTCCAATATATAAAACTCAGTGGCAAAAAATCTGGCAGAAGGGTATAGAAAATATGATACAAGATTTCAACAAACTTTTGGCAGATAGGAAAAAGGAGTCAGAAGAAAAAGAAATAAGTCTGGCAGTTGATAACAGAATAAAAAGAGAAGAAATGGATAAAAAGATAGCTCAACTGGTAAAAAGGATCTCAAACACTGATCAGGATATTCTTAACTTCTGCATGGGACTAATTGAAAAAGAACTAATGGATGAGATAGCAGACTCAATATACTATGAAAAAAGAATCAGTAAAGAAGCAAGAAAGTGGATAATAAAGATGCAGAAGAAAACACATAATCATTTCAGAAAGAAAATTTGAAATGTCAGGTGTAAAAAAGTGATAAAGTGGGAACGAAGATTAAAAATCAACAGAGGTGACAAAATCAAAAGGATGACATATCTACAGAGGCAAAGAAACAGGGCCAAGGTATCAGAAAATCAGTTATGTCAAGTACCATTAAAGGAAGAAGAATTAGAAAATACAATACTCAAACAGGTTCTGCGAGATGAAGTAAAGTATGGGATAAAATAGTTGGATTTTAATCTTTATCAGAACTTGGAAAAGTGATCTGCAGTAGTGATCTATAGGCAATGATGTTAGAAGTTGAAAGAGTGTTCATCCGAACTCCTAATGGAGTGATAAATTACTCCCGAAGTTGCACTTAGAAGGGTAAAACAACCTAAATGAGTGAGTTAATTAAAGAATTAGCTTTAGTGTCTCATATTATATGTACAGCTTACAAATATTTAATAAAGCATACATAACTAGCCTAACAGAGGACAAAAAAAAAAAAAAAAAAATATTGGACATCTTTTTATTTGATAATAATTAAGTTTTTCAAATAGTTCAAAGTTAAAGAATATTTTAATCAAACAATTTACTTTTGAAAGAAGACTATTTACTAAAATAAAAACCTTTTAGAGAATAATAAATTGGTTTTTTTTTTCTTTTTTTTTAATACAATAATTTAATAATTTATTGTTTTTTAAATAATTTATTATAATAAACTATAAATAATAATTCTGATAAATAGAAATTCTAGTATCAATCTATCAGGAGAGTAAAATATTGTTTTTTAAATCTTACTTAAAAATACTTAATTAATATTTTGTTTTGTTTAATCCAAACTAGCTTAATGGACTTATTATATTTTTTAAGTAGTATAGTTCTTTAACTAATAATATATACAGTAAATACAAAAAAGTCCATATAATATTGTAGATATTTCTTAACATTTCAATAAAAACATTTTATAATAACATAATTGCAAGTTAAAAAAATAATAATAATAATAATTGTAGATTAAAAAAAAAATAATAAAATTAAAAATATAATTCAAAAGAAAAATATTATTCCTACTTAGAATCAAATTGATGAATATAAATAAGTAAGTTAATTATAAATTCAGCTTTAGTGTTATATACAGTAAATACTATATCAGTATACAACCTTAATTTAATAAAATATAAAAAAAATTTTTTACTTATTGTAAACAATATGTCCAATATACTTGAATTTCTAATGAGTTCGAAAATTTTTATATAATATTACTATCTAAATTATTACATACAATTATTGAGTTTAAAAAATTTTTTTTTCTTTGATTTTTTAAACAATACAGGCAAGTCACTGTCGTCAACGATTTCCGAAAAACATTACATAAAACTAGCATGATTACACCAAATATCGGCCCTGAATTAATTGCAACGCGTTGCAACTAGTTGCGCCTTTAATTGTCTTTATTGGTTCCTTTTTAAAAAAATTTTTTTTTGTTTTAAATAGAAATTTGGCGTAGCCATCACGATTAGCAGCAATCTTAATGCAATCTACCATTCAATAACCTTAGTAATCGCCCACATTTTTTTAACGCCCGCGCCCGCGCCCACGAACACCACGTCCACGTCCACGACCGCGACCGCGACCAACACCAACGGCTAAGATTGCAAAAATTAAACGATTAATGCATAACAAATAAAATAATAAGCACTTTTTTCTAAATTACAACATACTTTCTTTCTTTTTTGCTTTGGCTTTTGGCGTATCGTCAACTAAAAGTGTATCCAATGGCAGTGAATCAGGCAGAATGTAATATCGGATGTTATTGCCCCTAATGCTCAAAGAGTCCAAGTTAACTGGATCTTTGTTTTTCACTGTCATTTTAACAGTTTTAAGGTGTGTATTCATACTCATGTCGACACCTTTATATTGATTATTTAGTTAATAAATAAGATAATAGATTATACTCTCTAGATAGTACATATTACCAGTAATCGTTCCATGAACTATTGTCCCATTTTTGAGTTCTATTGTAACTGTTTCATTGTTCAACTTCATCAAAAATCTAGAAAGATTTTATTCATTAATTAAACCGTTACTTTTATTTGTGTCGCTTTAGGATAATACACAATCGACCCCGAAGCAAACGCGAGTATTGATTGAAAGCCACGAAAAGGATTTAGAAAACGACCTTCAACAAACCTTACGAGTTTCATGGTAACCAGTTTCGACACGTTGAAGTATGTGCGATCTACTACGGTAAATAAACTTATGCGTAGTCTCAAAGATTTCGTGTAACGTGTATGTTAAAATTATCTTTGCTACCCATGTATTTAATTAGTTTAATGTATATAAAGTTTATAAAAAATATATATAGTTTGAAACAAAACTTTTGTTCTTTTATTTTTTAAAAATAATTTTTTTTTTTTAATTGCAAATGGTATTAGATATGAGCTCTTTATTAAGAATTTCTTAATAAGAATAATATCAATTATTATTATTATTATTATTTTTTTTTTTTTTTTTTAACCCACAATCATAAATATTGAGAGATATCAAAATATTTTGCAGATTTTTTCATAAAGCAACTAACTCATTGTTGTACATTATTAGTTAAAGAGCCACACTACTTAAAAAATATAAGGAGTCCATTAAGTTAATTTAGACTAAATAAAATCAAGTCTAAATTAGGTATTCTAAATCAAATTTAGAGAACAATATTATACTCTCCTAGTAGCTTGGCATAGTGTCTTTAAGTCAAACAAGGTTATTGCCAACAGTTTGTCACTATCAATTATCTAGAAAAACAATGAATCGCTAAAGTATGATATTGGGAAAAGAAAAAAAGGAAAATATAATTCAAAACCCTTCAAAAAATTCTTGTTCTATTTCCCAGTTTTCTTTCAAAAAGAGTTTATCTGATTGAGATATCCTCTAAGCTTTATGATGTTTGAGAAACTTAGTTAATCCTGAAAGTGACTTCAAGAAGAATGTTTGAGGAACCTATCCTTCTGTCAATATATAGATTTGCTTATTAATAGTGAAGCCAGTATTATATTACAGAAGAATTTACCTAATCAGGATAAAGAAATCTTTTCAAGAATTTTGTTTGACTGGGATAGAAGCTTGGAGACCTCGGCTTTTATCCAAGAAAGTCTTTTCATCACTTGAGAAACTTAATAAGAGATAAGAGTTGAATCAGTTTGTCTACTTGTTGCTCACTTTTCAGTATTATAATTGTTTTTTAAAGATCAAATATATATAGTTAAAGGGAATACTTTTTCTAAAACTTTCTTTCTTATATTACCAATAATATAATAAAACACATGAATGTGACCAATAGAAGCTTGTTTATATTTCAAAAACTGACATGTTTCATATTAGTCAATCACCTCTAATAAGGATTTATGCTATTTAAAATTCAGAGTCAAACTGATGTAGGCAAAATTTTTCAGAAAACCATGAAAGTGAGAGCTTTAAGAGGACCAAGACAGTTAAAAAGGGAAAAAATAAGCCTTTTTATTGCAGAAAATCTCAATAAATCTCTTGCTTCAAAGATTTGATAGGTCTTTAAATACTTTACTATCAATTATTCTTTTTTTAAAAACTTTTTTGCCATTGGTATCAAAGGTATTACTTAACTTTTCTTGATTACTAAGAGTCAAGTTTTTGAGTAAAGAGATTTATAAATAATGAGAGAAGGGTAGTAGTGACCTTTGAAGTAATACTTCAAGTTGTTTTAAGGAAAGTGTTAAGACTTTATTAGTAAAGAAATATAAAACCTTTTCACAAATATCTTTTTTGTGTATGATCAAAGGATTAATAGAAAGAGTTTAAGAATAATATCAATTATTTCATATATTATATATTTACAGTATATATATAGATTAATTATAATCTATTATAATTTGTTTTAAACAATTTATATAAGAAAATAGATCTAATTAGAGATTAAATAATTAATATATAGTTATTAATAATATTATTAATATAACTAGATTGAAACTATATATTAGTTTAATTTTACTATATTATATATAATAACTTATATACCAAAGTTAGATTTTCAGGAATTATTTAATTATTTAAATATCTTAAACATTTACTTAAATTTTGAAAAAAATTTTTATCTTTATTATTATTACCTATAGTATTTATTACAAACAAGTTTTATTTGATGAATTTTTTATTTAAGCAAGTATTAAATTGAGATTTTTTAAGTAAAACAATTAAAATTTAAAGTTTACTAATATAGCTTGAAATAGAATAATTATTATAGTTTTAAAAATAAGTTCTAGAATATAATTTAAAATTAATAAATATTTAAATAATTAATATAATTTTAAAAATTAAATTCTAGAATTTGTTTTTTATTTAGTTTAAAAAGAATAGATTATATATAATTTATATAATCAAATTAAAAATCTTTTTTTATATAATTCTTATAATAAATTAGTTTCAATCCAACAATTAATAGAAGGTTAAAAGTTTTATTTTCATATAATTGAATTATTTTTTTATACTGTATAATTCATATATTATATTAAACTTTAATTATAATCTGAAAGTACTATTACTATATTATAGACTCATAAATCTTTAATAAATAATTTTTAATTAAAATAAAATTAAAAAAATTTTTTTTTGAAATAGCGACTCAGCCTTATTTTATTAACATTTCAAATTGATACAAAAAATAGATTATAAGAAATAATTGCAATAAAATACTTCTAGAATTGTCTATAAGAGCTAAAAATTTTATGCTACTATTACCACTTTGATTCTGTAAACTGGTTACTTTTCGAGGGCTTCGACAGTCGAGGGTGTACTGCCTGTTCCTCAGCTGCTTTCAGTATCTCCATGTTGTAAAATTCTAACTACTCCAATCCATGGGATGGCTTGTTGTCAAAAGGAATTACTTGGATCAATCTAATTTACGCACTAGGAAAAAAGATTCATCAATTTTCCTAAATTCCCTCTAACCAATGTGCTCAAGTGAGACATGTTATCCCAAAATAAAAATTTCTCCCTTTATGTCATACCTGCCATTAAAACCCAATTTTGCCGTAAGGATTTTGTTTCGAATCTTTACCTATTCAATAGATCTGAAGAAGGAACCTACTCCGTGACCAGGAGTAGGTGACTATAACATAAAATTCAGTTATAGTATCTTGTGATCCTTACTATGATCAGATGGACTCTTTTTTGAAGAAATCAATAATTAGATGAAGAGGTGTCCTATATTCACCCGCACCAAGACCCAATGACTTATAGTGGATCCCAGGTTCTGATGAAGCTAAGGAAATACATTCAGATACGTGAGGTGACCAATAGGAGCTTGTTTACTTCTTTTACTAATGTGATCCATCTATTCAATCACAGTGTAAGGAACTTTGTACTACTCAAAATTCAAGGTCAAACTGAGGTAGGCAAAATTCCCCAGAAAAAATCAAGAATGAGCACTATAAAAAGGTTACAAAATGACAAGAGAGTAAAAAAGCTGTCTTTCATCACATACACACTTCTGTAATGTTCCTCTACAGTATAGGGTAATAGCATCATTAGTTCTTTTTCCTTTTAGAACTTTCTTGCCATGAATAGAAAAGATGTTTCTTGGCCTTTTCTGATTACTAGAGGTCAGGTTTTTGTTAAAAGATAATAATAAACAAGAAGAGGAGAAGTAGTTGATGGCTCTTGAAGCTTCTTTAAGTTAGTTTAATGAAAGTGATAAGACTTTATTAGCATAGAAGTATAAGAACTTCTTGTAAACGTCTTTTTTATATGTGGTCAGAGGATTAGTGAAAAAAGTTTTTTTGATAAAATTTTAAATATATTATATATAATTTATAATTTAATTTAAAAATATTTAAGTTTTTATAATAATTAATTAATTGATTTATCTTAAAATTTTAATTTAAAAAAATAATTAAAAAAAATTTTTTTTAAATAAAAACTATAATTGATATTAAATATAAGTTCATTATTAAAAATTAATTTAATATTTGATAGATAACTAAATTCATTAGCTAATAAGCAAAAATATTATCAAACTCTTTCTGCTAAAAAACTTTTTCCACAAATCTCTCAGATCCTTAGAAATTTCTTTTTTAGGTAATATACCCAAAAAAAGAGATAACACACATAACTCAAGACACATACTCTCTTACAATATCAACACACAATAGACATCTTAGCACAGAAAACAACATTTTGTGCATAGCTCTAGTCTAGTGATTACTGAGGAAAACACAATATAAAGAATAACCTTGACTATATTCTCTTTGCCAAAGAGAAGGAAATAGGTCAACATAAACTGATTCACAGTTAGAAAAGAAGAGTCAACATCAATTTCACAGAGCTTGCAGCCAGATCAGTGCAGGTTGACACCTTTTTTGACATTATAAGGAATCCTAAAGCAAATAGGTTTGTTCGATAAATCAAGCAAACCTCAAATTTTTCAAGACCCAGAAGGATATCAAAGCTTCTCAAGATCTAAACAGCCTAACATATATATCCATCTCCACATACACCAAAACACATCATCAAAGTAGCATGAACATATACATGTGTATAAGGCTGTTGTCAAAATAAGTTCAACAAAAGTCCATTATAATAGCACAACAAGTATAACTTAAATTGGTAATATCATCAAATACAACTATTACAATAGAAAGTGATCAACATAAACAAAATGCTAGGGGCCTGTAAAAAATACAACAAAGTCAATGTAAATAGGTAAACAATCTAAGCAAAAAAGGATAAATGATATATGTCTAATCGAAATAAGATTAAGACATATACAAAAACAAAGTTATAGTAAAAACAACATGCATTACATGTAAAAGCTTGTCAACAATTATTAAAATAGCACTAAGGACATA